TATATATATATATATATATCTTTTTATCTTTTAGGCCCATATTGAAATTTGATATTTAGACATTAAGTTTTTATGTGCACTACCCTGTAAATGTAGACTTATCGAAAGAATTGGTACCCCGATGAAATATTTAAAGGTACAGAAAATTTATCTTGAAAATTTTTTGCGAAGACAGTGTCTGAATTTTTTAAAAGGGCAGTGAATTTAACAAGTATGAACACGTTGGCACATTGTAATAGAAATCTTTGTTACTTGTTTCATCCATGTAATCTAGGACTTCAGAAAAATGCATTTTGATTCTCATAGATGTATACTGTGTGAATATAGAATGCATACATATCTGTTGAAAACGTTAATATATATACTCTGGCAAACATTTAATAATTACTTCAGCAATATACTGTAACGACAATTTCATTTCGATTTGGTAAATACTGTTAAATTTACTTTCAGTTCCATTTGCGTCTATTATATCTATCACTACAACAGTTTATAACTTGCTTAACTTGTATTTCGTTTGGACCTAATGCTATGGGCGAGTTCAAGCAAAGCGGCTAAGTATGTTTGCCGAGTGAATGAATTTGATTAGTTTTTACTTGTGAATCAAACCAATCATGTTTAATTGCTCGGCAAGCAGATCTAGTCACTTTGCTGACTTGAACTCGTCAATATCTAATCATCCTAATCATAGCAAGTACGAATGCAACAGTGCTATTATTAATAATGCTATTAGATTAAGTTAGACAGAATCACTATTAAATTCATTACTTATCCAGAGAATGATCCTTTAAAGCGTTATTAGTCTTTGTTACCTCTGATTGGTGTTCAAAGTCGAACATATATGTGTTTACAATACACTCTTTTAATATACATTCAAGACGAATGTAAGTTTATTTTCGCAAAAAAATTATCTCGTTGCAAAATTTCCAACGTATTATAGGATAATTATAGGAAATAATAATGGCACTATTTTTTTTTCAAGCCTTAACGCGTAAAAAATTCAAGAAATAACAACGCAATCAAATATTTTTCTTGCTATTTTCTCGAAAATATTTTATCTCAATGTTAATAATATAATATCGAATAAAAATCTTTGCAATAAATATTATCAAATAAGCATTTGTAAAAATGGCACTAATAAAGTTATAAAAGATTTAATATACTGCGTTAATAATCTACAAAAAAGTATTGCGCAATCACTTGTAAATATTTTTAAGTATTAATTTAATAAGGAACTTTATTGAATAAGCCAGTTACTTAATTATTTTTGTGCACGTCATGTAATATGTGCTATTTTGATTTTAGATTTCATTCTTTGTCCTACGAAAAATTATGCGCGTTGCATTGTTATACTATGTAAAATAAAGTTAAAAAAACTAGACGAGAAATGATATTAGTCATTAATTGGTGGATCCATAGCACAGATAATAGCTTTCATTACGCTGGCTGCCGCTAATGCCGCGTATGGTTGCCATTCTTTGATTCGAGTGCCGTCTTTGTAATCGGCAATTCCGCGGATTACAATGAAATTTTCGCGACAATTACCCAAGATACTCTCTACGACAGCATCCATTTCTGCATCAAATGCGAGCGCACCGAATCGGCTCGCAAACTTTTGTCTAAGTTGATCATCTCGTGCGACTTGTCGGCCAGAAGCTACTGGTGCCAAATGAATTCGGGAGCATCTATCAGTTCTGCAATAATGAAAAAGATAGTATATATAATAAAAGTATATAGCGTGTATGGTAAAATGTTGAATTTTCACCTTTTATTTATGGAATCTTGAGGAGCGATTGGATGAGATACTTCGATGACATCCCTCTCTCCAATAGCCATATATAGTTTATCAGATTCTGGTGGTGGCGCATTAAAATCATGTTCTGATTGATTGACCAAATTCTGCAAACCTTCCTTCATGTATAATTGCCATGGCGGAAACGTCTCATTTTCAGCCTAGAAAAAGATCAGAAAAAGATATTTTAGATAAGTATGTAACATGGATTCACATAAATATACAAATACATCAATGCCTAATATCGATTGAAATCACCTGTTTCTTCAAAGTTGCTGCGATTTCTTGCAGACCAAGATTTGGCGGGCAATATTCCTTAGTCTCAAAATGATAGTTCTCGCTTTCATTCATTTTAGCACTTTCACAATAAACGTATGCATATTTCTTATTGAGGGGCATTGGATGTGATATCACCACATCGCCCAATCGCACGTGTTTATTGTAATCTGTATAATGAGGAACACCACCACCAACTCCGACAAGAAAAACAAAATCCACTTTTTGAAATGTACCTATGAATATATTCAAAGGCTAAAGATTGTAACAATATGTAATAAAAATAAAAAGATATATATACATATACAGTCTCTGGCCATGTCATTAGATGCACAGATTTGTCGATAGATCTTTTTTATTATATGTGACTGAAAATGATAATTATCCTTATGTTTACATATCTAAAGTAGAGATTTCTCTTTCATTACATTTTTAATAAAAACATAATTTTGATAGTATTAATCAAATATTTATTTATTTTTTGTAAAATAAAAAGATGTTTTTTAAATTTGTTAAGCCATTATTGGCGGCTATTAAAGCTTTGATTCTAATAATGTTAAATAATTTTTAAATTAACGTTCATCGACAAATAAAAAGCATATGCAATCTTTATAGCTTTTACTACTGCCAACAGATTCATGGACTTTATAATACTATAAGCAACAAGAAAATTTAAACAAATGTATTCATTTTATAGATAACTATTTTTTTATGTTTTGATTATAACAATTGTCTATTTTCTATAGCAGAGTTAATATTCACTTTTTAAACTTAAAGTCAGATAGGTAAATATAATGTTTAATTTGATGAAAGCGAGAAAAGAGTTCTAGTACAGTCTAGGAATAAAAAATAAACTTAAAAATGATAAACATAATGATAATATAATAAATCCTAATGATAATATAATGTAAATTTGATTATTAAAAATAAAAAAATTTGATTATTAAAAATAAAAAATATGTAATGCATTCTAATAATATGGTCACGGACTATAATATAAAATAAAAAATTTAAAGCTAAATACATACCCAACAATCTAGTAGTGGTATTGCCAGCTGCGGTCATTGCTTCTCTGGTATGTCCCACAGTTGGTAGTTTAGTGCACACAATCCTATGCGCACCGATATTGCCCAAAGTATACACATTTGATTCTCCTATAACAAAATAATATATCCATTCATTACTTATATCTTTATGTATTTTGAAGTTTATATTTCCTTCTATATATATATGTATATTCTTGATTTGTATTATATATGTGCATTGTGCGGCTATCAACAAAGTAGGATGGAACCTGTGTTATATGTGACGATAAAATAGATAGATAATAATCCATTCCATGTAGAAGCATCTTCCAAGTCTAGTAATAATACTAGACATAACAAAGAGAAGCAAATAGTATAACAACATTTCTTTGAAAATCTTATCTATTATATTATTATTGTCGAGAAGTTACTGATTGAATACATTTGAATGGAAACAGATCAAGAATTAAAATATTTTATTAAAATTTTTGAAAATAGATAATATATTCATTAAAAAATATATATATTAATTAAAAAAAAAAAAGAAATAAAATCTTCTTTACGAGAAAATATAAAAAATAGAATTATTATATTATTACTCATAGAAAAAAAATTAATAAAATAATTTAGTATTATACAAACCACATAAAATGAATATAATACAAAATATGAATAAATCTAACAAAATTATAACATATAACAAAAACAAAGCCATACAAAACGTTCACAACACAAAACAAAAACTATTATATAAGAATTTTACACATATATGTATAATACATGAAATCAATGAATTTGAATCAATGAAATACAATGAATTTGTAATGTCAACATAAAAGAATCAATGTGTTTCAACATGTACATTTGTAGCACCATTTTGCCTTGCATTGTTCTTCGGTTCACAAGCAACTGGCAAGCTATGAAATGACATTAAAATGATAAAGTTATGTTACAAGTTACTTTACCAAAACGGCATATCACCCGCGGAATTCCGTCTATTGCATCTGATGAACTTGCGGTACCTAAAGTTTCATGCATGGTGAAATATACCTCCATTATTGTTTAAACATTTGTCGCTGATTAGCGAGCAATATAAATCGCAATTATATTTGTATGAGAGCGGAAAAAAAAGAAATGGCTAATGATTGTAACTAGAACGCTAGCAAAATTTTATCTGTATAAATTAATCAAAACATTTTAAAAATAATAATTTTAGTAAACGATTTTTTTTTTAAATATAGCTAGAGATAAAAGCAGAGAGTCAACAAAACTATTTTTCTAATATTTCAAATGAGTATCTTCTAATATTTCAATTATAATTATTTTCTAATGAAAGAATTTAATAGAGAAATTAATTATTTTTCAAAATATTATTCTATCATAATTTTATATCGGAAGTATTTTAGAATTATTGTTCTTGGAGATATATAAAGTATATCTTATACAATAGTAAATAGTAAATAAAAAAAAGTCTTACCAACAGTCGTGTAACGAACAAAGGTTTCCTTATTCTCAATTAATGAATCCACAGCAAGTTTTTCACAATATTGAGCTGTAATAATAGCAATGGTGGGTTGCTTCGCGCTTGCCATCGTTGGCATCGACTTTACTACCTAAAAATATATTTTATAAGATTACATTATATGTTAACAAAAATTAACTGAAAAATTTATATTTAAATAACAAATTACTTGGACTTGAGTATCCTCATGGACAACACGTGTGAAAGCCCCATGATCTATTGCTTTAACAAGTCCTTTCTCTTGAAGCTCTTTTAATTTGGCCTCCACAGCTGATAGCTCCCATCCATGTTCCCTAAAAATAAAATAAAATTAAAATTTAATTAGGGATAATCGAATTTCATTAAAGAATCTATTTCTAAATCGTTTTTGAATAGGATTGATTAAGGTGATTCTTTAGTAAAGATTCTTTAGCCGAAAATTTGACACTTCGCTAAGACCCACCCAAAATCACAAATATCTGCATAATTTAGATAAAATATTAAAACTACGTGAATATCTTAATGAAATAGTATAAAATAGTATGAAATAGTATGTTTCATTATAGTATTTTATTACATTATGTGTATATCTTAACTTAATAAAATAGTGTGAAACATACAATAGTAAATTTGCATGTAAATATCTTTGTCGAAATGACCGTTGATGTATTACTTTTTTATGACCATTCCCTACTATTTTAATTATTTAAACAGAAACCGATTATTTATTAATCGATCTGTCTTAAACTCGAACCTTGGTAAATCGATTAAAAGTTCGGGTAATTAATTATCTATTTTTGAAAAATCAAATCGAACTCTTACATTCCTTAAATTTAATTTTATTCAATATATTATTTTCCCGTATATCTAAATTTTATTTAATATAATTACTTACTTCGCAATGTCAACCACGGTAACAGGATTTGGATAGGCAGACTCAATAAGTTCCAAAACTTTTTCTACTGTTAGCTCAATCACTTGACCCATGACTATTTCATCTGTAGATACTTTTAATAAAAAAAAAAGAAATACTTATTTAATTGTGCAATTATGTTAGGGACATTGTAGTTTGTCAAACTTTTAAGCCGCTTATTATAACTTTAAAATGACAGTTAATAGCATTAAAATAAGAATACAGCACTCCATAACATATGCAAGTTAAATTTTTTGCCGTGTAGATGAGTGTAGATGAGTCTAAACTCGTGTAATAGGTATAGTTTAATCTATCCAAAGTAGAAGTGTAAAAGTTTCAAACTTTTCATATAACTGTAATAAGTGCACAGTTTAAGTTTTTGTTTCTATAACTAGAGTCGAGCTAGAACCGTTAGTGAAAGGTACAGCTTATATGTGGGAGTGGAAACTTGAACACATATACATTATGGCAGCTAATAACCACGAATAGAAGGTTCGTGCTCTACATAGATGCATTTCTTTACAGAATGAAGACTAAAGTGGCAATGTCATTATACTATATAGTATGATAATGATCAATGAATAACCAATTCGAAAAAGTTACAATTTGAGACAGATAAATAAATGTGATTTTTATATGCATATGATAAGATATGTAGCTATAAGTATGTGTGCATATGCTTCTGATGCCATGAATTTTCGTTTTTTAAATTAATGTAAATAAAATAGCATTGATGAAATTAAATTTGAATTAAATAAATCTATATTCTAAATATAATTGATATTTATTATGTAATTAAATATCGTTGTTCGTGTATGTTGGACGTTAAAATGTTTGTAATAAAGTTTTATCTATAATTACATGCTGTGAGGGTATATGTATATATTGTACATCGTATGTAAAAAATCTAGGTCAAATCAAATGGGCTGTTTTTCACACTCTAATATCTAAAGTATTTCTCTAGTAATTGCTCATTCGGTTAAATAGATTGGAAAATCCTTTTTCACATAATCAAAGTGCGTAATAACTTTTATAAATCTGTGTTATAAACATGTTTCATTTTAATTTTAACAAAGGGAATAGAAATATATTTTCTTTTTTAAGGGATTATTAAAAAAATACGTTCACTTAGAAAGGAGGGAGTATTGAAAGTATTATGCAAGTAAACGAAGAGAGGCGAAAAGAATTAAAGAAAACGCAAACATTCGATTTTGTCATCACTGCTTATTCATTCAAATTACTTGCGCGATTGAATAGATTCTAAAAGTGCGTTTCACGCTCACACTATAAGCTCATTTCATCCTTATTGTGTATGAAATATCAAAATATCTTTTTTACTATTAATACTTATGACCTTTCTTTCTTTTATTAAAAAAGAGAGATTTTATTTTACGTTTACTTTGGGGGAAGAGAAGGTTATGATGTCTGTTACCAAGTGTTACGAAGGGGGGAGGAAGGAGATAAAAAATGCATGATTTTAACGAACGTATTTTTTTAATGACCCTTAAGTTGCTAAATAGGACATCGTAATGTAAATCAATGCATAAATGTTAAATCAATGTTGTTATGGTTACCAGATTATTGTGTTAAGCGACAGAATATATATACAGGATGACCTATCTTTTTAATTTTCACATTGAAATATCTCAAAAAATAAAAATTTTTTATATTTTTCGAAATACTTTAATGTAAGAATTAAAATGAAACACTGTATATATCTATTATCGAAATAAAAAGAAATTTCTTTTTTCCTTTAATCTAATGCTATACACAAAAAAATTACAAACGTTTTATCTAATAATTATTGTGTTACAAGAAAATATATTGTGTGTGTTAGTTTCATTTGGATCATTAGATTGTGTATGAGAAAAGAAAGGAATAAACATCAATGAAATGTGACAAAAGTTAATTTCTTTTCATTCTCGAACCTGATCTCCACATAACTTTCTCAGAGAGAGGAAGTGTGAATAGTAAGTGACCAGTAGCTGTGAATAATAGAAATTAAGTATGACATAGATGTCCAAAATAGTGCTCAATACAGTGTAACTGCGTATAGAGAACATGAGAAAACCCTGACTTAAATTACGTAATGGATTTATGAATCACTGAGAGTTTTAGTCAAGTGTGCATTTCCTTTAGAGTTCAGCTACAATGTGCACTTGAAACATGACTACTATCTTTCAATAAATGCTATTAAACTTAATCAGCTTAATTTAATAATCTCTTCCTTTCATCCATACCATTAGACTTTTTGTTTTATTAAGCCAAAGTATATTATAATTTGAGAATGAAAATGTAGGATTAAATTTAGTATACTTTATATGCAATTTATTTCTATAATACTTAAACAAAGAAAAAATATCTATTTAAATACTTACATGGCCTGCTTGGAAGAGTAATGGGCTCTTCCAATTGTCTCAATTCCACCTCTAGTTTTTTAATGCTGGGATATTTATGTTGCATCAATTTAATTATCTTTTTAATAAATCCCACATAATCTGCAGAAAATAACTAACATTGTAAAATGTTACACAGCAAAGAAGAATAAAAATTTATATCAATTATAGAAAATTACATATAAAAAATTAATCGAGTGATTTCGTATAATATTAAATTTGATATTCTTCCTTGAATATCATATAAAATTTCACGTTCTGCTTCTTTAATTGCTATCAGTTTAAAATTAATGAGTTTAATTCTAACGAGTTTATAAGAAAACAAAAAATCTTCACTTAGAGACTTTAGTTACATCAGATATTTGATCTTGAACATTTTAATGAGAAATATTCGGATTGTCAATTAATGCATCATTACAATTCACCTCTAGGAAACTCCTGCGGCGTCACGAGTTCTCGGAAAAATTCTTGCGCAACGCTTGGCTGTTCCGCCTCAGCGAGTGTGTCGACAAACCAAAATTGGAGAGTTCTCTGTTCTTGTGTATGCTTTCCAGTTTGTGCGCTTACAAGAAACACCCTAAATTGTAGGCACAGTTGGGCAGGCTGCACCTCGCCATTTGTTACTACAATAATTGGATTTAAATAT